TACCAAATTTTGGCCAACCATATCCTCCTTTCAACCACAAACACTCACGTAATTGATTCAGTTAAGACCACATTAGCAATAATACATGAATAGTCTTTATAATTTGGCAAACACTATTAATCTATAAGACTCATATCAGTTTCTATGTCTCAAAGACGTGTGCACGTAATTCAATCATAATCAGCCAGAGCTAAAAGACCCAGAAGCCGAAAATGATTGAATAGCGTAATTGCACACCAACCATACCCAATTAAAACCGAATAGGATCGACCCACATGCACCCATTAAAGAAAAAGACATAAGTTTGAAGGGTCGAATATTAGGCAACGTGTAAGACGAAAGGCCATTTGATAGGGAAGAAAAGAAAAGAAAAGTAGAGATCTTTGTATTAATGGGGAAATTTTGTAGGGCATATGCCCTATGGGCAATGGGTTGGCCATTGGCAAATAGGGAGAGGTGGGGGAGACAAAGGTGTGTGTATTGTCAACATAAATAGAGGCAAAGTGGTGATGATATGGAAAAGACAAAGGGCAGCATTGGACCAACAATGAAGGTTTGATGTGTACAATGTTGTGTTGTCAGACTTAGAATACTCTTTTTGTCTTTTAACTTTTTCTTTCTTTATTTTTTCTATTGCACTCAATTCCATGTCTTTCTAACTTCTTCCCACTCCAAATCTTTCACTTTCCTATAATACCCTTGTTCTCGATCGATAGGGTTTCAGTTATACTCCCGAGCTTTGAAAAGTTCTCGTCTTTATCCTTAAATTTTAAAATTGATGCAACAACTTATGTGAAAATTCAAAAATATACGTCATATCGTTTATAATATAATTCACGTTTGTTAAATTTTGATTGTGTAAATGGTTTTGTCCACTTTGGTCTGATACCATTTGTACTCATGCCTACCGCTAACAGATATTGTTCGTTTAGGTCTGTTACATATCGTCGTTAGTCTTACAGTTTTAAAACGTGTCTGTTAGGGAGAAGTTTCTACACCCTTATCACGAATGCTTCATTCCCCTCTCCAACTAATGTGGAATCTCACAATTCATCCTCCTTAGAAGCCTAGTGTCCTCATTGGGCACACCACTCGGCGTTTGGCTCTATACCATTTGTAACAGCTCAAGTCCACCGCTAATATATATTGTCCGCCTTAGTCCGTTACATATCGTCGTTAGCCTCACGATTTTAAAACGCGTCTGTTAATGAGAGTTTTCCACACCCTTATCAGGATTGCTTCATTCTCCTCTCCAACTAATGTGGAATCTCACAATTCATCCTCCTTAGAAGCCCAGTGTTCTCACTAGGCACACTACTCGGCGTTTGACTCTATACCATTTGTAACAGCTCAAGCCCACCGCTAACAGATATTGTCCACTTTAGTCCGTTACATATCGTTGTTAGCCTCACGGTTTTAAAACGCGTCCGTTAAGGAGAGTTTTCCACACCCTTGTAAGGAATGATTCGTTATCCTCTCCAACATGTGGATCTCACAATCCACCCCTTTTGGGACCTAGTGTCCTCGTTGGCACACCAAACGACGTCTGGCTCTATACCATTTGTAACAGCTCAAGCCCACTGCTAACCGATATTGTCCGCTTTGGTCTGTTGCGTATTACCGTCAGCCTCACAGTTTTCAATCGCGTCTGTTAGGAAGAGGTTTTCACATCGTTTTAAGGAATGTTTCATTCCTATTTCCAACCGATGTGAGATCTCACGAAAATATACACCAAATTTTTAAGGATATTTGGTATAATTTAGCCTAATTATTATTTATATACCTCAATGTCCAATCCAACCCGAGTAACCGGGTGGGTATCGAGTTAAATTTTATGTCACCAAGGGGTTGGTGTAAAATTTATGTGTTACCCTACCACTACAAGGTAAAAAAGAATGATGGTAGTAAAAAGTTTTTGTAACCTAGCATTTACTTGTTGGGGGTCGTCTTTGTTTGATAGGTAAGTATCTTTCATAACAAAGTCTGTCAAACGTCATGTTACCGTATTACTGTCTATTGAATCGTAAAAAGAAAATTTCATTTTATTTAAAGAAGACGACAATAAGTCAAAGATATAAATAAAGGCACTGGGTATGGTTATTTGATGTCTGTTCAAACCCGAACAAGTTCATGTGATTAGATTTCGTAGGTTAAGTACATGTCGAGAAATTTTAATTCAAAGAGTGATTAGATCAAAATATAAATTTTATTTTATATTTTAACGTTTCTAAATATATTAAATATAGAGTTGACTTAAAAAATAACAATAATAATCCATTGACATTGTGAAGCCTAAAATAAATTAAAATTGCTCCAAAAGTAATTATGTTTATTTGTTTATAAATTTTTAAATAAACACTTTGACAAAAATATGGCCGGCGAGGTGAATGTGCGCGCACGCTTTCTCCCGCCGCCACTGTTTGAGAGGCGGTTGCCGCCGTCAACGGCGGTTTGTTTTTTTTTTTTGTGCACGTTAAAGTTTTCATTTATTTAAACAAAATAATATTATGATTTTTTTAATTGGAATTATTGAAAAATAATAATTAAAGGTTAAACTCAAAATAATAATAATAATAAATTAATAGATATAAAAATTTTAAAAACGTTATATAAAAAATCCTTATTTTATACTCAAAATTAAAATTTCATTAATCATTTAAATATAAAATTAAAATTTTAAACATCTCTTTAATATTATTCAAATTTTAAAAATTTATTAGACATAAATTTAAAAATTTTAAATAATAAATTAAAATACATAATAAGACAAAATAGAGTGACATAATTTGTGACCTCCGAATAAAAGATATATATATATATATATATATACACGAATGAAACGAAATTACGACAGTAATCTAGAAAATATGTAATTATAGTTAAGAAAAACTTACATGAATTATTAGTTATTATTTATACCAACTATATGAGCTAAACATAGTCTCTAAATTGTATTAGCTCAAGTCTACCACTAGTAAATATTGTCCGCTTCGGCCTATTACGTATTGTGGTCAGCTTCACAATTAAAAAAAAAAAAAGTCTATTGGGAGAGGTTTTCACACTCTTATAAGAAATGTTTCGATCATTTCTCTATGTGAGATCTCACAATTCACCCCCTTTGAAGGCCTAGTGTTCTCGCGTCACACTGCTTGGTGCCTAGCTCTAATACCCTTTGTAATCGTTCAAGCCCATCGCTAGTAGATATTGTTTATTTCGACCTGTTACGTATCTTCGTCAGCCTCACTAAAACTTACAATATTATATACTTAACGGATCAAATACTTTAACCCGAGTTGATTGAAACCTAAACCCTAAAATTTGAAAAAAAAGGGATTTGGGAAGGTTAAAAAGCGAAGGTACACAAAAATGGCAGAGTGGAGTGTGGGCTACCTATTGCTAACGCTAATGCTAACCCAATTGCTTGAGGAAGTAACCAAAACAGAAACTGCCTTTTCCAATCTTCTTTCCATTAGGGTTTAGGGTTTAGAAAACGAGGGTGGAAATCTCTTCTTAATAGATGTGAATTAAAACTGTGAGACTGACGAAAATATGTAACAGACTAAAACGGACAATATCTACAAGCGGTGGACTTGAATTATTATATCACTTATTTCAGAAGTTGTAATCGGATCGTTAACCTCTCGTAAATTTTTGAAAATTACCTTTAGAGTAAAAATATTTAGAAGTTTGGATGAAAATTGATGCAGGTGGGTTTTTTTACACTTCATTAAGGTAAATATCTAAATTATGGTCGTTTTCATCTAACATTCTAATGGGTTTTTCTAACATTTAGTCTCGAAATTTTTATGGGTTTTTCTTTATAAGGTTAAATTTCAAGTTTAGTCTCGAAACTTTCATGTTTGTGTTTATTTAATCCTACTTTTTTGTGAGTGTCTAATAAAATTTTAAATTTTTTTAAAAAAATTAAAAATTAATTAATATAAATTTAAATTTTATGTGAACAAAATTTTACCATTTGGGTAAAAAAAAACCATTTGAGAGGAAAGAGAGAATAGGTATAAATGGAAGGTAAAAAATTGGTGATGTCTTAGTAGCTTAACTGGTCAGAGATTTAGGCGGCCGCCCCCACTGTAAATTCTCTCTTTCAGGCTACTTTTACATTTTTACACTCTTTTTTTTACTCTCTGTTTTTTACCATTTCATTCCCTATGTCTCCATCACTCCACGTTTTTACCCATATTTCATTTTCCCTTTTTTAACTTTAATCCATTTTAAATTTTGTGTACTAAAATTTAAATAATATAATGAAAATTTGTTTTTTTTATCATATTTATAAATTTGCTAAAAAGAGGGGCAAATATAAAATGTTGACTTAATTCGGGCCCATTGGAACATTGGGCTTTATTCTCAATTCTAATCCGGCCCAATTTTCTTCTAATGGGCCTATAAATCCAATTGCAGGCCCTTTAATTATTGGAACATTAATAATTATTTATTTACCCAAAAAAAAAAAAAAAAAATCAACAGTTGTGTTATTTTTATTTTTTATAATTAGAAAAAAATTAAAAAATTTCCCGTCAACTTCACGGTTTAAAACGAGCTACTAGAGAAAGGTTTCCACGCCCTTATCAGAAATATTTTGATTTTAAAACATGCTAATAGAGGGAGGTTTTCACACTATTATAAGAAATGTTTCTTTTTTCTTTTAGATCTCTGGTTAATTTCTAAGAGAGCCCAACCCCACAACTATCATATATTGTTCGCTTTGACTTGTTATATATCACCATCCGTCTCACGATTTTAAAACGTGTTAGTAGGGAGAGATTTTCACACCTTTATAAGAAATGTTTCGTTACTCTCTTTAACTAACGTGGGATCTCACAGTCTAGAATAAAAAAAATCGAAATAAATTGTCGATAATACATGAAAAAGCTACTATCGAGTAAAAACTTTTCTTTCCTTTCCTATTTTGCCCTCAACTTTTTAAACAAATATCGATTTTGTTGTCAAAGCCATGTTAAAGTTATATGAAAGATAAATACCAACGAAAAATAGGACGATCGATGTTATTCAAATGGGGTTCGAGATAACAAAAACAAACATGAAAGCAAAGATACGAAAGATCAAAGTAGTGGTCGGGTATTGTTTTAATTTGATCGGAGGCGTAGAGAAAGGTTCTTCAAGGAGAGAAGAACTTGCTTCAACCTATCCTTGGTTTCTTGATGAATCAAGTCGCCATTATTGTCATCAAACTTGGGAGGTGGCTGAAAGGCATTCACATGAAGCTCTGGCTTGTTGACAAAGTGAAGGTCCAAGAAGACTCCCACTTGCCGGAGATGGAACTGTGCCAGTGCGCCGCCGAACCCTCCGCCGGCACTCACGATGGCCGCCGCCTTTCCGGCGAATGCGTTTGGTGGCCTTGATGCCCAATCAATTGCGTTCTTCAATGGAGCTGCAGCAATGATTAGATTGGCTACGATTATTTTTAAATTTAATCACTTTTTTTTTTAATAAATAATTTAATAATTTGGATTAAAAAATAATTTAAAAAACTTTAACATGCGCATTATTTATATTTTTATCGGAATTAAAGGTATCTTTATATTTAAAAAATAATTTATATCAAATTATTGCGGTTGAATTCAATTATTCTTTTAAAATATTTTCAAATATCGAGAATAAATATGTCGTTAATATTAAATATTTATTAATGTTTTAAAAAATATGGCGTTTTCAAATGAGGCATGATAGAGTAAGATCGGGATGAGATTATAATCCTTATCTCAACCCTGCTTTAGTTAATCGAAAAAAATCTCTCCCCATCCTTATATTCACGAGTCAAGGCGGGGATTGGGAGGCCTTCTTTGTATCCATCCCCACCACCTATCGAAAATCTCAGGTCCACACTGTTGGATGATGAAAGTCTCATGTCGGCTAATTTAAGAAATGATCATGGGTTTATAAACAAAGAATACTCTCTCCATTGGTACGAGGGCCTTTTGGGGGAAGCCCAAAACAAAGCAAGAGCTTATGCTCAAAGGGGAGAATATCATACAATTGTGGAGAGCCGTGTTTGTCTAACATGGTATCAGAGCCATGCCCTAAACTTAGTTGTGCCAATAGATTGGTAAATTCTCAAACATCGAACAAAGGACTCCAAAAGAAAAAGGAGTCAAATCTCCTCGAAGGCAGTAAAAAATGACTAAGACTCCAAAGGAGTCGAGTCTCGATTAAGGGGAGACACACTTTGTTCGATGGGAGGTGTTAGATGATGAAAGTCTCACATCGACTGACTAATTTAGGGAATGATCATGGGTTTATAATCAAAGAATGCTCTTTCTCTCTATTGGTATGATGCATTTTGGGGAACCCAAAGCAAAGCTACGAGAGCTTATGCTCAAAATGGACAATATCATACGATTGTGAAGAGTCGTGTTCATCTAACACACACTGATCAGGGCTCGGGCTCAGTGGGTTAAATAGATATCTAATCCTAATTTTGTTACAAATAAAATAATTTTTTAATTATAAAAAATATACATTAAAAAATAAAAATAAAAATTCATCGTGCCATTAACAGATTTCTTGAAGGAGAAGAAATGAGACCAGCAATGGAGTAATTATATTCCGGAGAAGCAAAGAGAATGCAATCAGCCTCACGAATCTGCCGCCGGAAATCTTCAACGACGGCCGGAAAACCATCCGGCGGCGTTTCGAGATCCGTATTGAGCATCGGCAGAGGCTCCACTTCCAGATACTCAATTTCAACGCCTTCAAGCGATTCCTCGCAAATCGCGATCGCTAATCAACAGAAATCGCAACAAAAATGAAAATCCCTCACCAAATTTCAACAATCAACGATATAAAGAAACAAGAAATCAACGCATAAGAAATCGACACAAGAGTACCGGCGCGAACTAGGCCGCGATTGTAGGAGGCCTTGCGAATAGAGCCGCACAGAGCCGCCACTTTAACCACCGGTTTCGTAGCCGTCGCCGCCATAGATCTCGAAGACGCTCCCCGAATTCGCCAATGAACGATGGAAGTTTAAATAGAGATTTGTGAGCGATACAAACGTATATTAAATTGATGTTTTTCTTAAAATTAATTTGTTTATTTTATTATATTAATTAATTGTTATTATTTTGTTTCTGTTTTTAAATTAAAAAAAAAAAATCAATCTTTATATGATTATTTATTTAATATTTTATTAATAAAATAAAATAGAATCAAAATTTTATTTTATAATTTTGGCTATTAAATTAATAATAACCAGAATTAAGATCGGAGAATAGTATGAAATTTAAAAACTGGACAGAAAGAAGCACCTAATTCTACCCGAGACTAATTTTAGAGTCATTGGAGTTGAATTTTTGGACATCGTGGGTGTTTATAGCAAAATCGAATATCTGGGTCTTTAACTATAGTTGGAAAACGAGCGAAGAACGGGGACCTAAGCACCGTTAATTCAAAACACGTTATCATTAAACGAAACGTCTCTCCCCACATATTTGGCAATTAACATTTTTCAAATTAAAAAATAATATTTGAAAGGAGAAATAAAAGAAATCAAGAGAGAAAAAGGGGTTGAGCCGCCCTATTATTTAATTGGATAAATAATAAATAGCCTATGTAAGAGATGAGGTGGACAGATCATGTTCTAGGATTTATGGTCCCACCAACAATATTAGTTTAGTAAATATACATTAACAAAATATAATAATTAAGGAAACTATGAAAAGCCCTTTTTATTTTCATTATTAATCTCGACCATCAATTGGTCGTAGGAGTTTTCGTATGATCTGAGTACTCGATCAATTCGAACTATCCAGCCTATTTTTTCTTGGGTTAGGTTGAATTTTTTGAAAATTAAAAATTTTGGTCAGTTCGCGGGTTGACATTTTTTTATCGGGCCAACCTAATCAACCCAAAAATAGAATTACAGCCTAACTCTGTCTTACTCTACTTTTAAGATTATTACGAAGACTAAGAATATTTGACGTTTGTAACTGATGTTAACGATGTATTGTGACTTGTGAATGTTTGATATCTGAGTTGTATAAGATTTTGATTATTAGTATATAATACAGTAACGTGTACTATGGATAAATAAGATTTTTTAAAATAATAATAATATAAAAAAAGAATAATCTGATAACCCAACCTAAAAGTAAAAGATTGGGTTGGGTTGAGTTGGGTTGTAAACACAATTTAGATTGCTCCGTTCACCAAATTAAAATTTTTTTGTTGGTTCAAAAGATTTCTAGAATCCAATCCAACTTGGACTCGCGCGTACAACTCCAGTAAATTTGAATATCAAATTTCTCCTATAATTAAGAATATTTCTTCTGTAGTCTGAGGATTGTCATAGACGTCCCATTCTGATGTCCCATATTGATTGGAGAGGAGAACAAAACATTTTTTATAAGTATGTGGATACGTATTTATGAAAATATTTATAACCCGTTTTTATGAAAATATTCACGAACTACTGTGATATCCATATCCATGTAGGCTTTTGTTTTGAACGAGAAGAATTCAAATAGTTGGTGACCTCTAACCGTCTCGACACACAATATTATGTTAAAATGAATTGAACTAGTTAAGCTTATCTGTTAATGTGCTTCCTTTTAGTGCCTTCTCTATTTTCTTCTCGGACGAGTATCTTCCACGATGAGCCGATTCGATGGTATGGGATGTTGCAAGGTAATTGAGGGACGAGGAGGAGAAGGTCAACCGATCAAGAAACTAAAAAAGAAAAACCACCAATCTTAACTTGAGATCTCGAGAAGTGGCATCGAGGATAATTATAAATTTCATCCATGTGCTCGTTGCAAAGCTTTCACATAAGCAAAATCAAATAAAAATTCTTTTAGAGGGTCGAGAATCAACGGTAAAGTAAAACAGTCGACGATGGGTTGATCGGGACAATGAGTTGATCGAGGAGATTCAAATGAGTGATAAATAAATCGTGTAGAAATTCAGCCAATCGCGTGTATTCTTATGTCTTGTTTCGGTTGGATGGGGACGAGTAAATTTAAATTTTCAAAAAATAAAACCCAATAATTTTCATATAAAAAAATATTATTATGAATTAAACTTAAAATAAAAAGGTGAAAAAAATAGAGGGTAAAATTGAAATATCATAAAGTTTTGAGGCTAAATATAAAAGTAAATGAAAAAAGGGGCCCATTAATTTAACAGCTTGCAAAAGCCCCATGCTTAAGAACAGCCCATGAATATTGATAAGTTATTGGGCCCTTATAAAAGCCCAAATTTAAATTTATGAAAATTTTACGCTATTTTTGTTTTTTATTTTTTTGAGAAAAATAGAAAAATATATTTATTTTCCAAACAATAGTGTTGTTTTCTTTATTTTTAAATTAAAAATAATAATAATAAAAACAAGTTTCTTATACGGGATAAGCAACCCATTATCCTTATCCCATATCGGTTGAGGGGGAGAACGAAACAACTTTTTATAAGGGTGTGGAAACCTCTCCCTAAAGTATTGAGGAGAAGCCCGAAAGGAAAAGTCCAAAGAGGACAATATCTGCTAACGGTGAGCTTGGGTCATTACAAATGGTATCAGAGCTCGACACCGGGTGATATGTCATCGAGGAGGCTATTCCTCGAAGAGGGTAAACACGAAGCGGTGTGCCAACAAGGACGCTGGGCCCCGAAGGAGGGTGGATTTGGCGAGGGTCCCACATTGATTGGAGAAAGGAACGAGTGCCAGCGAGGACGTTGGGGGCCTGAAGGAGGGTGAATTGTGATATGGGGAGGAGAACGAAACACCCTTTATAAGGGTGTGGAAACCTGTCCCTAGCATACGCATTTTAAAGACTTGAGAGGAAGCCTAAAAGAGAAAGCCCAGAGAGGACAATATCTGCTAGTGGTGGACTTGGACCGTTACATTATCCACTCATACAGATTTGCATTGTGCATATTCGACAGTCAACCGGTTATTGGGTGTGGAGAAACATTGAGAACCAAAATAGCTTTTTTCGAAACAATTTCTTGACTAGACATGTTCGGAATTTACTTTTTCGATCCGGATAAATCTGCTTCTCTCCTTTCCCTTGTAACTTCGGTAAAGCTGCATAGATTACCTCATTTCCGTCTTTCTATAGGTCTATTTTTTCCCCGACCTATCTCTTTGCAACCACTAACATTAATCCTATGATAATAATAGTTTTTCGAAAGACACTCGACCTAATACGTCTTTTGATCATCGGTCTCCTTCCAACTCTCTCACTTCTGTCATGTACATCACATATTTTTACACATTTTGAAATAGTAAAAAGTCAACTATAAACGATAAAAAGTAAACCCCAAATCTTAATAATTTTTGTGTAATTATCAACCCGGCCCTTTTTACACATTATATATCCCGAAATTTTTTTGTTCTAATCATGTCCTCGACCCTCGATAGGCATCAGACAACGATACACTCCAAACACAGACTTATTAATTCTCCATTTCAAACCGAGATTTATAACTCCTCGTATTAACTAACTCCCGAAACTAAACAACTTCATTGAATAATTCTTCTCTTCACCCCGAACGCTCCTAGCTCGTCACCCCCACCAACACCAATCATAAAAATCTTATCCATTATTCCTATCCATAAAATGATTTCCACGAACATTAATTATAAAATATAATATTTGTTTATAGATTCATCATTTATATATAAATAAATTAAATTGCAATTATCACATTCCCATAATTATTATTTTAAAATTTAAATTATGGAAAAGAAATTATTTTTAATTCCATACTTCAGTCACTCATCTTTTTAAATCTTATTAATTTAAATCAGCAAAATTAATAATTTTAAAAAAGCATAAACCAAAGGACAAAAATGTCCAAACAACTAAAAGTATGGATACCCCACCAAAAGACCTTTTTTAACAAAAAAAAAAAAAAAAAAAATAATAATAATAATACTTTTTACCACCAATCTTAAAATACACATAGTTAATATTTTATTTTAAAAATAAATTTAAACTTTAAAAAATTTAAAAAAATACCCTTGAAATACTTTTAAATTTTTAAAATTTCCATTAATACCCTTAAACATTTTTTTTTTAATTTTAAAAATATTTTTAAATTTTTTTTTGTTATTAATTTTTTTAAAAAATAATAATAATTTAAGGCACAATAATTAGGAAAAGGGAGGAAAAAAATCCTCTCGTGAAGCAAAAGCGACTAACAATGGGAAAAGCCTGCAAAAAGCTACCTCAATCATTTTTTTCCCTTTTTTATTTATTTATTATTATTATTACTTTATTTATTTATTTATTATTATTATTTTTTTAATTTAAAGGAAATAAAAAATTTAAAGCAAATGATCGATGCACAAGTCACGCAACGTTTGATGGTTATTAGAGATGTACACGCATTGATAACCATCGAGAGCGTACACAAATTAGTTTAAGTTGGGTCGAAGAATTTTGTTTCTAAATGACTTGAATAGGGTTTACGGCCCATCTGCTAAATATGCCAAATATTCTTATTTTTCGTAATAATCTTAAAATGAGAATTGAGTCGTAAACCCTATTTTCGAATCGGCTGAGTTGGTTGAGTTGACTCGACCCAAATCGAAATCTTTTGAACTGAAGTTTGAACACCTGAGAGGAGTATGGAGAAGTAATAATGTTTACTGAAACGCTAATTCGAGGGCTTTAATTTTAGGGAAAGGACAAGCCATGTTGGTTGATAAAAGTGCAATCACATGCAATTTCATCACATATTTTGACTCTTTCCTACACGAACATGGTTGTTTTGTCTCTCCCTTTTAGAAAAACTTGGTCATTTTTTGTCTTTTTTTGATCTGTTTGAGCTATGATATCGAGAATGAATGAGCTGGGTGTTGATTAATTTATGTAAAGAATTGAAAGAAAAAACCTTGTTTCTCGAGCTAAGTGCAAGCTACTTATATTAGTATCGAGACATCAACAACTTGTTCTAACGATCTTTCTTGAATATAGAATACTGTATAGATATCCAGACCAAAATG